TAAGAACTCCCTTTAATGAACTCCCTTTAATGCTAGACACTTCTGCAAACAGGTAACCTAAAGGAGGAATGTGACACCAATTATAAACTGTTATTCCAAGTATAATTATAAACTATAATTCCAATTCTAAACTATAATTCCAGCTATAAACTATAATTCCAGAGACAAAAACCAGAACTATGTGTTAAAGTGGAAGCAAAAAGTACCCACCTAGCCATCCATAAAAATCATCAAAAAACACCAATACCTTTGGGATAAACCAGCAATTGTTGCTTCCTAATGTGATTCAATAGTAATGGTAGTACATTACCTATGTAGTGTTCTTGCTAAAACTGCTTCAATTAGTCATGAGGAAACACATCAATCAGACAAGTTTATATTGTGAATGTATACAAGATAGCTCCTGGAATCATCAGAAATGTCAATATCATGAAAAATTAAAAGCTTAGCATGTTATTATACATTTAAAAAGATTAAAAGATCAGGATAACTAAACACAATGTATGACCCTTGACTGGAATAAACAAATAAAAAGGTATAAAGGATGTTGCTAGGAAAATTGGAAAAATTTGGTATGGACATTATATTACATAGTGTTATCAATGTTAAATTTCTCTTGCTGTAATAATACCCTTGTTCTTAAGGGATGCATGATAAAAGTGTTTAGGGATGAAATGTCATGTTATCTGCAAGTTATTTTCAAATAGTTCAGCCAAAAAAAGTGTGTATGTATGTGGTTTTTATTTGAGAAAGTGAAAAACCATATACATACCAAAGTATGTATTGATGAATACAAATTGATGAATCTGCTGGAAAGACATCTTTTCATTTTTCCATATGGTTGAAGTTTTATAAAATAAAATATTAATGAAGAAAAATAATATTTAGATACATAAGGTTTATCTTTACTGCTAGTTATAAATCTGATAAATTCGGAGACAAATCAATACATTCACATTTTCTGAAAAATATAATGAAGATAAAAAAGTGAGTAAAAAAAAATACCATTCGGACAAAAGAAAAAGAAAGCTTGTGTGACTATTTTAATAGCAAACAAAATGAATTTCAAATGCCAAAAGATAAAGAAAGGTTACTAAAAATGAAAAATGTACTTGTTCTAGACTTCTATGCACATAATTACAAAGCCTCAATTTTACAAAACAAAAAATGATAGAAATGCAAGAATTTGAAAAATCCACAATCACTGTGGGAGATTTTAAATTTACCTCTCTCAGTAACTAATAGATTTGGCAAAAAAGTATTAGGGATATAGAAGATTTAAACACCACAATTTACATGTTGAATGGATATTCACAGAACCCTGCATACACACATGAAACACTATTTTTTTATCATTGTTCTCTAGGACCGAAGACAAATATTTCAACAAAGAGTAAGTAATTAGTATCATATAAAAAAGCTGTACTCAATGAAATTAAATGAGAATCAATAACAGTGTTAAGATAAAAAAGATCCATATGGCCAAGCCCAAGTTTCTAAATACCAACAATCAGTTCCACAGTCCCACAGAGAAATGTTTAATGGAGTGAAAAATACAAGATGAGCATTAAATTAAGGAAGAAAAGAAATGTTAAAGTAAGTCAAAGTATCTGTCAAGAATAGCACATATCAAAAGGACAGAAAAAAACAACTTGAATGAGCAGCCCTGGCTAAATCTGAGCCAATTTGAGCATTAAAATAAGTATTAATGGCAACAGGTTATTTGTGAAATAAAGTAAAAGGTTTATGTCCAAATAAATACATAGAGAAAAACCTTTTCCTGAAAGTACAATGTAAACTATTATATGTAGTAAAAATGATGATGTTTGAGAATTATTATTTTGTACTCATCATAGTAATAATTCAGTCAAGAATTTTCAAGGGATGCAAAAACTATGGAAAATAGTTTGATGAAAAATAAGACATTTACATAGTTTCAAATTATTTACAGTAAAATTAGTAATTGCATAGACAAAAATAATAACCTAAGAATGGGTTGATCCAGATAATACCCACCATTTCAACCAAGCAATCAAAGTTAACATTATTCCTAATGGACCAAACCACCAGGTGGCACCAATGCAATACCCTGTAAACACCTCAACATTGCTTCTGTGATATTTCTTTCAATAAGCATAAGCAAAATATGAAAATAAGGAAATGGCACAAAAAGTTGAGGCACATTCCAAAAAATAATTGGCCTAGAAATATTTATCAATGTCATGAAAGCAAAAGAAGAGTAGAAGAAATGTTCAAGACTAAGGACTGGAAAAATATAAAAACTAAATGTAATGTATCATCTTGGACCATAACTTCAATCAAGAACAGAAAATAGATATAAAAGACACTGGAACAATTGGTGAAAATACATTATGACATAGATAATAATATCACAACAATGTAAAATGTCTTGATTTTCATACTTGTACTAAGGTTATGCAAGAGAAAGTCATCATTCTGAGAAAACACACAATGAAGAATTAGAAGATAATATTAATACCTGTAAATTACTGTCAAATGGGTGAACAAATGAGGGAGAAAAAAAGACAGTGATAAAGCAAATGTGTCAAAATGTTCATGGGCAAACCCGAGTAAAGTGTATCTGTGAGTTTTTTTAACTATGCTCACAATTCTTTAAGTGAAGAATTAAATCAAAACAAAATGTATAAAGACACAAGCATAAAAATCAGCAATGTTGTTATCAATAAATACCATAACCATGCATTTGCTATGTATTTAATGAAATTAAAAGTTTTATATTGTCAAATTCTATTGGGAGTAGCAGCCAATATGTAATTTTTTATTATGGTGAAAGATTAAAAAGTATTTTAAAGTAGAAATAAGATGAAGTTTAATTCTAATTTGGTTAATGATTTTATAATGTGATTTTTTTAAAAGGAGGCTTACAGGTTTGGACATTCAAAAAGTAACTCGGAAGTCAAAGAAGAAATCATAAGAAAAATTAGAAAGTAATAAACATTGAATGATAATAAAAATATTACATATAAAAACATGTAAGAGACAACCTACAGAATAGGAAAAAAAACCTTTGCCAGCTCTTCCTCAGACACAGGATTAATATCTAGAATATATAAAGAACTCAAAAATATTACACCTCCAAAATAAAAGACCCAATCAAAAAATGGGCAAGTGAAGTGAACAGACATTTCTCAGAAAAATATAATTGATCCATAAACATATGAAAAAATGCACATCCCCCGCCATTAGAGAAATGTAAATTAAAATGACAGTAAGACTTCATCTTATACCAGAAACAATGGCAATCATCAAGAAATCAAATAATAACAAATGCTAGTGTGGCTGTGCTGAAAAAGGAACCCTTTTATATTGTTGGTGGTAATATAAACTAGTATGACTGTTATGGAAATCATTACGGTGAATTCTCCAAAAACTAAAACTAGAAGTTCCATTTGACCCAGCTATTCCTCTTCTAGCTGTCTTCAAAAATGAGCTAAAGATATCATATTACAGCAATACATGCATACCAATGTTTATAACAGCACAATTCATAATAGCTAAATCATGGAAACATGCTATATGTCCATCAACAGTTAAATGAATAAAAAAAGTAGTATCTATACATAATGGACTACTACTTGGCTATAAAGGATAAATTCAAAACATTTGTAGGAAAATGGATACAACTTGAAAACATAATGTTAAGTACAATATATCAGACACACAAGCTTAAATACTGTATGGTTTCTCACATTTGAATTATCCAAAGTACAAATGAATAGCAAAATAAAACACTGATGAAAGGAAACAAAGAGATGTATCTTTTCAAATGGGAAGGTGACCAAGAGACCAAGGTTGGGGAGGTGTATAAAGATTTAAGAAGCATCATGTACATGTACCAACTATTCACAATGAATGTAGTCAATATATGCTGCAAACATGAACTAAAAAAATAGAAATAATCATGAAAATGCAGCAAGGGGATTTAGAGATGGAGGGAGGGAAGTGGGTGATGAGGGGAAAGGGAATTTTTAAAAAACCAAGATATGTGAAGTACATATCCCTACTTCCGAAGATGAATGTAAACATCATGTACTGCAAACGTGTATAGTACTAATAAAATAAATTTTTTTTTAAATGTGAAATTCTTCTAAACTGGTAAAGAAAAATTTATAGTCCCAAATTCTTATTTTTAAAAAGAAGATAGAAAGTTAATGAACTAAGTTAGAAACAAGAAGAAACCAAGAAGAGAAATATAAAAGTAATTGGAAAAATTATTAAAATGGAAAACAAAGTGTTCAATAGTAAGGCCTGACAAAAGCAAAAGCAAGAAATATATTAGAAAATTGATTATTGTAACTTATTAAACTCTCACACTGTTATAGTAAATTAAAGGAGAAAAAAATATGATCATGAAAGTAGATATAAAGAATTTTGTGAAAAAAATCCTATACCTATTCACAATAAAAACTCAGACCAGGAATACAAAGGCACTTTCTTAACCTAAAAAAGAAAATCTAATTAAACAGAAGGCGAAACTCAAAAAATTCAAGATCAACACAAGTAAATGCTCTACTATTTTTATTTCTCCTTGTACTGAAAATCTTAGCTAGCACAGCAAGATATGCTTTTAAAAAGTAATAGAAAGGAAATAAAGGCTATTATTCACAATGCAATTAGCAGATAATCCAAAATAATGTATAAATTATAAGAGTGAATAAAATTCAAAAAGCTACAATATATAAAATCAATATATAAAAGTACCAATCATGTTCCAACTAAACAGCAACAATTTTTAAATGTGGTTACAAAGAGTCATTTTACAGTGGCATCAAAACCTAAAAAAATACCTTGCAGATTACATTAATATTATTAGGTGTATATGGTTTTCTATAATGTAGAAAATGGTTTTGATTTTATCAATGATGCTAGCTTTCTGTTTTTTTACTTTGCAACCTGCTTTAATGTGTCACAATCAACTGTCATTCCTCTTCTTAATAAAATTTTAATAAAGAGATTACCTTTAAAATCACATCTTCTAGGTGCTGGACATCAGAAAAAGCAGGGTAGCAGTGTAATTTATCCTTATTGTCTTTACTGGATGAACTACTTTACCAATGCACCAAGGAAATGGAATCATACTGCAATCCCTTGAATACTGAAAAATAGTAAAATAAAGAAAAATCATTTCTTCTGTTATTGTAGATCCCTACTCTCTTCAATTCCTTATTCTTCATTCTGCTCTCATGTCAATGACATAGTCCTACAACAGTTGTATGCATGGTATTAGAAGGAATTTTTGGCATAGCAATTTAAACTATAGACTCTGGAACCAATTGTTCTGAGTTCAAATCCCAGCATAACCACTTACTGCCACATAACTTGTAGCAAGTTAAACTTCCCTCACCCTATATAAAACTCTTCAGTGGAATTTTGTGATTAAATAAACTAAAACCTACAAAACCCTTTAGAACAGTGTCTGGCACATAAAAATATTCTCAGTAAAAATTTGAATCACTAAAATGAAATTATGTAGCTCCCCCACTTCTTTCCCTACATAACCTTCTTCATTTTCTAGCTGAACATTGTTCTCACTAAGACCTATAGCTCCACATTTCATTACTCTCATTAGAGGTAAAAATGAGGGAAGTAAGGCTTTATGGAATGACAAGGAGATGCTTTCAAGTGAAATGGAGTTTCTTCTTTTTCTTTGCACTACCACCAAACCTGATGTTCAGAATGCCCATGGTTTTCAGTGTTATCCCTGCCTTCAGTAAGTCATTTAGATAAATATATTTTATTCCTGTTATGTACTAGCCATATGTCTTGGTCATACATTCCCTGCAATTCCCAGCACTATACTTTCCCATTGCAAGGGCTCCATAAAAGTTTGTTGTTACGAATGAAGAAAGGATGCCTTTCTACAACATTTGGGTAAAATTTGTTTTTATTTCTTGCATTCTATAAATTTCATTTAAATGGATGATTGCTTTTCTAATAGTGAGAATTGATTCCTAAAATAAAATTAATATCACTTGCTTGAAAATCTTCTTTGGCTTCCAGTTTATGGTATAAACTGCATAACATTTAAGGCTGTATGACATTCTATCTTCACCTTAGTCCTTTGGACAGAGTCACAATTATAGCAGACTGTTCCCATAAAAAGTCTTACTATGGGGCTTTTGTTCTGGAAACCTAGACCTAAAAAAGCATTCCACCTCTCTCCATTTGGCAGATGTCACTCATGCTTTAAAATCAACCCAAAGTTCCCTCTTCCTGTTTAATGATTCATTATGGCACTTGAATTTGATTATCATGTGTAACTTTTCCTAAACTTATTAAATTCTCTCACCTTACACAGAGGTACTTCTGAAGGCTCACCTTACAATCCTCTCCATTAGCAGTGTTGGGCCTAGGCAGCCGGCCTTCAATACATTCTTGTTATTTTTTTTGAACGAGGCATTTTTAAATGGAACAATTTCAAACATATATGTAATTAGAGAGCAATATAATAAACCTCCACTCATACATCACTCAGTTTTAATTTATGAACTGATGAATATTCAACCATGGCCCCATAGTACTTTCAAGTAAATCAAAATATTTAATTCTATTGATTAAAAAATATAACATTTGCAGCATTTGAAATATTAAAATAAATACTTAATTCTCTTAAATATCCATCATGTCATCCAAACATGTTCTGTGAAAGAGCTGTTTAATGCTCATATGTTCTTTCTTCTATTTTGAAATTGTGGAAAGAACAGGGAAATGGGGAAGATGAGATCTGGAAAAAATGTATAATTAAGTTTCAGAGACCTTTATTTCCTGTTGAGAAAGAAAGAATCTGACCTGGTTTAGGACAGGAAACTCCACGTATTTCACTACTTTTCCGGAGGAGGAGGGTGCGACTTCAGACCGGCTGATGCAGGAGGAGGTGCAGGGGGGAGAGTGGCATTACTGCCGTTAGGAGTTCCTTCTGGATAATCCCACCGCGGAGCAAGGAGGCAGCGCTTTTTTGGAGGCTTGGCTTCTCGCGTGCTTCCAGGTGGAAGCGTAGATCTCCCGGAGGGACAGGCTTGGTCTTCCATAAGTATGATAGGACCTAGGAGTCAGTTTTCTCCACTGGGCCCCAGAAAATCAGAGACCTGAGATGGCGGCGGATCCCCTCCAGGCACAGAGCAGGCTTCCTCCGGGTTTCTCTCTTACCGTATTTCCTGTATCCAGAGATGTATATCCCCTAGCTGCCTCCACCCTCTACATACCGTACCACGCCCACCAGCGCCCCTCATACCCCGTCCCATTTTAACGTTTCTACGAGAATACTTTTAAAAAACAATGCGTATATTTAATATAATGTTCTTCATAGCGTCCCGCCCACCAAGTGTAATTAAATTCATCGCAAGTATTATACAATCTGTGCAACAAATGTTTGGGAGGATCAGGTGGGTAAGGTAACCAAAGAAATTATTTAAGATCATTGCAACCCAGTTGCAGATGCACATTATGGAGCCATAAAACTAGCTACAACCACTTAAAAAGCAATATACAAACCTGTTGACTAGCGGCCTAGAGTGCAAAATAGCGCCACTGACCATGGAAAATTGAGTATGTAAAATAAATTCACCATGTCATAGAATACAAAATCACTTTTTGCATCATATTTTAAAATTTTGTAATAATTTAGATAACTATTTTTTTTCACATTTCAACATCTAGGAACTCTCTGAAACCTGACAATTGATACCACTGGGTACTTTGACTGGCAACTTTTTTTTTCTTAGAATTATGGAAAATAATGATTCATTAACTATTGCTGGTATGTTATATTCTATGGTATATGGTAAGTAACCGGAACAAAGTGCAATGTAACTTATAAGAAAACGCTTCTGGTCACTATCATTATTCAAATCGCCTTAATATTTATGCACCTTTGGCTGTTGGGACAATCTAGACCACACTTTTTCAGCACTACCCTCAGTGTTTCTTAATTTAGAGAGTTCAGTCCTTAATATCAAAAGAGAACTGGTTTTCAAGAAGGTGTGCTATGTAAAGCTCTGTGGTCTTTAAGTAATTAATTAAATTCTTAGCACTTGGGTTTCTGGAGCTTAATTTCTTCTTTGTGAAGAAATTGCCATAATTAGGGGTAATATGCTTAAATCAATTACTATCATAACAACTTCTCATCTCCACCATCACTATCCTCCTTCAAGTACAGAGCACATACAGCCTTTTACACAAATTAGATACTCCACAAATATTTGGGAAATAATGGGAAGTAAATGACTTTGTGGTTTTGTTTCAGATACTAATAATAACAACTGAAAATTCAGGTGTAGCAGCAGCTTAATGAAAAGATGTGAAGAAATATTGAGAGAATACTTTCAGAACTAGAAAAACAGTTATTACTAGATATAATGACATGTAAATCAGCAACATAGAGGTAATAGCTGAAGTCATGAGTATGGATAATATTTCCAAGAGAAAATGTAAAGATAAATGGGATAAAAACAGAATCTTGAGTAAGGGCCAAAGAGAAGGCTGTGGCAAAGGTTCTGTAAGAGGAGGATCACAAGTTTGAGCCCAGCCTGGAAAACTTAGCAAGATCCTGTATCAGTATAAAATGAGCTGGAGACACAGCTCCACGCACAACCCTGAGTTCAGTCCCCAGCACTAGGGAAAACAGAAGTGCCATGTGGATCTACATTGGAAATTTCCTGCTTCCATGGGGAGGAGACTTGTAATGAAATGAAGGCCTTGTGGTCTTTTGGGAGCAGCGCACTCATGGTTATAAATTAACTCACAAGTATCCTTTGCATGGACTTTTGGAGCACCAGAGAGTCTCCGCTGGTAACCCTCAACTCTACTGAATTATAAGAAATGGTGGAGCCCCTCATGGACCCATGCTACAAAGGTGTATCCCCATAACTAACAAACCAGGGAAGGTGGTGTGTCCACAGAACACTGATCCCACCAATAGCGATCAGTGAAAGAAAAGGAGAAGAAGTGGAGTAATAGGAGGGGAAGGAAGAAGAGAAGGAAGAGATAAAAGAGTGGGAGAACAAGGAGTTTCACGTCAAACAGGATAAGGACAAAGAGAAGTGGCACCCTCATGATACCAGGGATGTATTTATGGATCTAGTTTAGGGGTCTTTCAGTGAGTGGTAGCCTACCGAAGAAATGAGAGGGTCACACAAGAGGAAAAGGGTGCTATCATCTGCCTCCCTCCCTGGGAAAGGACACAATACTGAGAAGTTTCTTTTGAATGGGATGTCTCTTGAATGAGATCAAGGGTTCTAATCTACCCAGAGACCTTTAGGAACTACAAAATGCAAAGGCAAGGTCTGAACCATAATCTTGCAAGGCCTCCAGCTCACTGCAAACACCACAGTGTCCCACTCCCACAAATACACACAAACACACACACACACACACATACACACACCTATACCCCAAGGGGAAGAAACAAATGGACACAGGGATGGGAGGTGAAGGTGAAATGGGCAGGAATGGGACTCAAAGGTGATGAGAATGACACAGATTATGTTTAAGGCCCTATAGGAATTGGGGTATGGCTTCTCACCTGCCCAGTCCACAGAGGTCATTTTAATTCCCACAGATGTAAGTTCATCTTCCTCACTGATAATGTTGCATCTCCCACCCCACCTTGCTACACCAGACCATCATAAAATAAGAATTGGAAGAAAAGAGTGGCAGTCAGGAAGTGAAAGCAAGGATAGGAACAGGTGGAAAATAAACAAATTACTGCAGTGAAACAGAAAGCAGGAACAAAAACTGGAATGTTCCATCTCCCTAACAGATAGGTGGTACACCAAGTGGTACTCTATTCCCTTACAGGAAGAAACCCACCAGCCAAGGTGAATTTGTCAGCCCTGGAGGCAAAGTTTGAAACTTCATACAGAGACCTCTTGTGCCAGGACTTCTGCTGCTTAGCTATCTCAACCCCAACTCCAGGATAGGGAAGTGGGTCAGAAAAAGGCTAGTGGGGTGGGGAAGGATTGAGTGTGATAAATACAGAAGGGGGAAGGTGAGTGTCAGGTAGTTTGTGAGTGTGGGTGCATTCATGCTAAGATGTGTTCTCCTCAGTATAAATGGGCATACAGGAGCTTGAGGACATGAGGTCACAAAGGTGAACTCTAGAAAGGGTATGAAATGAGTGCAGCCTGTATTAAATGGTCTGCTGCTTGAATTGGACTGTGTGCTGTGGTAATCTGTAATAAGGCAGTGGCCTAACTCGTCTTCCAATTTGTATTCTCAGTTTCCAAGGTGTATAATGCACAGAAGACAGAATGCATTTTGAAAACAAGATAGATGTACTTATGGCACTAATTCACTTTCCCTTCCCCCTACATACCACTTCCAATGCTAAAGCCCCTTTTTTCTAGCCTCTAACAGTACCTCCATCCCAATGGTGACATTACCCAATGGACCTGCACTAACTGAGCATGACAGAAGAACTTGATTCTTCTGTCTACCAATGGCTGTCCACAGGGAGACCAGTGTCTCAACTTGTGAGCCAGTGTATTTTTTTGGTGAGCATACCAGTAGTTTTTCTTGAAAAGACCCCCTGCAAAATCCAAACCCAAAGTCCACCCACAGTGGAGCACACAAAGGAGTGCCCATGTTTCAGTGAGGGAGGTAGCTGCAGGCCTTGAGCACCCTTCCTGATCTCTGTGGCCTATTTCCTTCTGCTGTATGTTTCAACAATTTCTGCAACTCTGTTACAACTGGATTCTTTCACTCCTTCACAGCAAAAGAGTTTCTTGCCCAGAGGCAAGTGAAGTGTCTACAAACCTGAGGCCAAGTGACATATGGCTTTCTAGGGGAATGGGCAAATCCCTCTCCTCCACAACAACCAAGTGAGTGAGACTGTTTGCAACATTCTGGTGGTCTGTCTCCACAGAAGAAATATCAAGAGGAATCCAGAAGGAAAGGGTGGTGCATCTTGCAGGCATGCTCCCAATGTGGTTCTCTGAGTGGGAAATCTGTCTGAAAATAAGATGGGTACTCCAGTGGCTGTTAATGTTTTTGTTTTTGTTTTTGTTTGTTTTTGTTTTGGGAAGCTATCAAAGGAGATGTAAGGAAAGAGGTGAATGTTGTATGCAGAGCCACACTGCCATCTAGTGGAAATAGTGTCTGAAATTGCTATGCAGCAGAACCATTTGCCTTCTGCCACGTGTGCGACATGAGTTGCCAGGCATTGCTGGGCTAAGAGGACTGTGTACAAAGCAGGGTTGTCCCCATGAAGGTTCAGAGGGTCAAAGGAAATTCTGTCTGCCCATGAGATCCCCAGGAGGATTTGGAGACTCCATGATCCCTGGAACAAAGAAGATAGCAATACCAATACTAGTCAGCCTAAGAGGCGGAACTTACCCATCAGTCATTTTGTGGTAGGTGGCCAAGGACTGGCCAAGGACTGCAGGCTCTGGAGCCTTTCTTTCTGGTGTCCTCTATAAGGAGTTGCCAGTTGCCCCTGGCTGAATGAGGGGATGCCATTGGCATGCTGGTACCAATATTATAGGCAGCTTAGTGTGAAATTAACACTCAGAAGAGAGACTTGGCACTCAAGGAAGTCAGCACAAAAATAAACACATCACAACTGTGGCTGAAGGAACATCTGAAGAAGGCCAGGCCTCAAGATGAAGATTCAATGGCCAGCCTACATGCCTCCCTAAGGGATAAACAGTAATTTGGAATTATGCTGTAATTAGCACTACATGGTCCAGTAAGTCCAGATAGCCATCAGTCACCCAGTTGGGTGACCAAAGCATCTGGACCCATCCCTTCTCAAAAATGTCTTTGTTCTTTCCATGTACCCTTGCTATGTCATTCATTTGCCTATTAGGTGAATACTGGATAAGTGGCTATACTTGTAATCCTATAGCTTGATTGTAGTTTGACCCACATTGTACCCATATTGTGACTTTGGTTTATAAATTACCCCTGACAAATGGCCTCAGTGGCTACCCATTCAGGATACCTTCTGGAAATCAAGGAGCTATTCTTCTTTTCTTATTTTCAATAAAACTCTCCTAATATCTTCCTTTGGTTCATTACTTCATGCCTCAATGTTGCAGGACCATGAACTCAGCACATTTCACATTAACAGGTCAGGAGTTTTATTTCTCCTATATCATCAACACTTGGAATATAGCAGCTGTTGTGCCCAAATCGTGAAGTCCCCAAAGACC